TATATATATATATATATATATACATACATATGCATACATATAAATACATATCTGCACATTCATATACCTCCTCACCTCCAGCATAGTGCGCTGTTTCGAGACAGGCGGTTGGTTGTGCTTCGTTACAGCACAACGCACTAGTGTGCACCCACTTACACCCACTGCCATTGATTTAACTTGTTTTGTATTCGCAGATGTGTATATCCGCAATGAGATCAGGTCGCTGCGGGTGTCATATATTGAACAGCTCAACCAATACTACACATCCATCGGTCACATGAAGCCCACTAACAACCCGGTATGATAATTCGTACGCTTACGAGGATGGGAGTGGTGATGTAGACGTTTATGTATCTGTATGAGTGTATATACATACACATCGGCTCATCTGATAGTAGTTGTAGTACATCTCACTCTGGGCGCTCACTCATCCCCACATTCTCTTGTTTGTTCGTTGTTTCAGAGTACTAATCTGATGGGGCGGATGTTTGATTCGCTGACCGTGTCTAAAGAGAATGAGGAGGTGTCAGGTGTGCCTGTGAGTTCAGAGCTTGCGCTCACCTTCATCTACGAAAACAAGGAGGCGCTGCAACGGGCCAAGCAACTGTCACCACCCGAACAGGTAATGCGCTAGCCATCACGTGCCATGCACCTGTTACTAGTATGAATGGGACTATGGGACACATTGGTTGTATGCTTGCACCTTTTACTGGTATGAATGGGACTATGGGACACATTGGTTGTAAGCATGCACCTGTTTCTAGTATGAATGGGACTAAGGGACACATTGGTTGTATGCATGCACCTGTTACTAGTATGAATGGGACTATGTGACACATTGGTTGTACGCATGCACCTATTACTAGTATGAATGGGACTATGGGACACATTGGTTGTAAGCATGCACCTATTACTGGTATGAATGGGACTATGGGACACATTGGTTGTATGCATGCACCTGTTACTGGTATGAATGGGACTATGGGACACATTGGTTGTATGCATGCACCTGATACTAGTATGAATGGGACTATGGGTCACATTGGTTGTATGCATGCACCCGTAACTAGTATGTTCTGCTTCTTTTCCTCACTGATTGTGTATATTCATACGCAATGGCCCTTCCTTTCTCGCCTACAGATTGCTGAGAATATAGAGCGCATAGTGGATCTGCTGCTCAAGTTCTTGTGTGTGCAGCATTTGGACTATGCCCTGGATGTGTAAGTGACCTCCATCTCACTTCGCGCATTAGAATCACCGCCCTTCCTAAAATGGTCCTTCCAAACGTCTATACCATTCACGTGTGATGCATATGTTCGGCACATAGTGGATTGTACTTCTGACGTCTCTTTGTGACGTCTCTTTATAAACCCTAAACCCTAAAATATATAACCCAATTGCCTATCGACGACCAACCTGATACTTCAGCCACATCCTAAACCCTTAAAACACAAAAAAAACCAAATGTACCATCGTTGGGACGAGGGGTCATATACTCTCTTCCTTGTGTGTGAATCCTATACTTCTTCATATACCTTGTTCTCGTGACACCTGTCGTTGCCATGGTTACAGCAACGTGGAGGAGGCGTAGGACCCACTCACGTCACGCACTGATACAGTTGGGCGTGTTCCGCATACGCTGCCTGTGCACACCATCCCTCACCTAACACGTAACAGTTAGCGTTTATTGTGCATCTCAGTCGTTTGCACCACACCACTGTTTGTGCCACGGGTAAAGCGTTGACACAGCCTTGTCTCTACGTACCTGCCACCGCACAGATCGCTGTCCAAATTGATGATCCATGGGCCTATGAGGAGTACGCCGGCCCTGGATGTCTTTGAAACCATCTCCAAGGTAACGAGCCGTGTGAGTGCTGTTAAGTGGGTCTGACAGGTGGACTATATCTTCCACGTGTCAGTGCATGACAATGGCTGACACTTGTGTGCACTGACAGGTGAACTATGTCTTCCACGTTTCAGTGCATGACACGTACTGAATGGCTGACACTTGTGACACTTGTACTCGTGCACTGACAGGTGAACTATGTCTTCCACGTGTTAACCACGTACTTTAACACATCTGTGGTGCCTGCGGTGGAGGGCTACTTCGCCATCACAGCCTCAGTGACGGACGAGAAGAACGCCATTGCACAGACGCTGCAGACAAAGATCAATTCATGTCTCATACGCTCACTAGAAGGTAGGTGTATTTATGTAGGTGTATTAATGTAGATGTAATAGTGGAGGTATAATATAGGAGGGATATTAATATAGGTACAATAATGAGCACAGAATTGTTTTTATATCAAAATGTAGTGACATATGATTATGTCTGTCTACGCAATCGCATCCCCACACACTCAATTCTGTATGTGTGTATATATACGTACAGATACACATACACACACACAAACACGCACACACACACACACACACACACACATATATATAT